TGCAAGGTAAATGGCACTGGGCAGGCCTTGCAGAATTGTGGAATTGCTTCCTGGTCAACATGCAAGGTGGCCTTAGTTCCTTTGATAGGCCCTAGACTTTCCTAGAAAAACTTCCACGTCTTCATTCAAGCAGCTATATTCAAATTGAAAAATGTTGACCTAATCAAGGCGAATCTTTTTCAACCAATTTTGCCCCATCAGGCTTTTACGACAATCAGTGGTAACTGAACCAGCTGCTTCTCATAAAAGAGACTGGAACCAAAGTTGCATTCCAGATCATAGCCACACTCAATATAAAATAGCTTTTCCAAATGTCATTATTGCTTCTTTTGCCAATCACTTCAACTTGGTGTCCTCTGCTTCTTGTTCTTCCACCAATGGAATAATCGTCAGCTAGAAGTGCCATTTGAATGATCGATCTTGGCCTTCACCAGAGGTCCCTAGCATCATAAATGCCAATCTTCAACCAATTTGACTCACTCCAAGTGCTATCAAGAAATGGCTGAAGACACAAGGTACTGCATGGTAACGTTCCATCTGAACTGCACAGTCACACAGCCACTGGAAGGCTCCATGATGCCAATCGTCGTGCTAGACATATTGGTTTCCACTTGCAGAACATGCTGCTGTGCACGGACCTTAGAGATCCATGCCACGAGAAAAAGTGTTACAGGCAATATTGCTACATCAACTTTGGGCCCTAGCAACAATATTTGGGGAACTGAAGGTTTATTCTTCAGAACTAGCCACGCCCCAGCCACGCTGTTCCAGGGCAGCTACAATACAGGCATTTATCTGCCAATGTGGAACATTGCCCAGGTATGTCCTGTCCACAAAAAAAAAGCTACATTTAGTCTTTTACCACCGAAGCAGTAACTCTCAAAGAGATACTCATAAATGCTCTTAGTGATCAGTAAAGTGATGAATGGGATTATCAAGCAGTACTTGCAGAGTAATAACTTGCTCATTAATGCACAGTTTGTATTCTGCCTCAGCTACTCAGCTCTTAATCTCATTGCAGACTAGGTGCAAAAATAGACAAAAGGCTGAAATCTGAAGGTGAGGTGAGAATGACTGTCCTTGACATCAAGGCTGCATTTGACTGAGAGTGGCAACAAGGAGCCCTAGTAAAACTAGAGTCCATATGAATCTGGGTGAAAATACACCACTGGTTAGAGTCATATCCGGCACAAAGGAAAATGGGTGTGGTATTGGTCAGTCATCTTAGCTCCAGAAGTTCCTCAGGGTAGTGTTCTAGGCCCAATCATCTTCAGCTGCTTCATCAATGACCTTCCCTCCATCATTAGATCAGAAGTGGTGATGTTCACTGATGATTGCACAATGTTCACTCTCATTTACAACTCCTTCGATACTGAAGCAGTCCACGTCCAAATGTAGCAAGTTCTGGACAATATACGGGATTGAGCTGACAAATAGCAAATAATATTTGCACCACATGAATGCAAGGCATTAACCATCTCCAACAAAACAGAATCTAACCATCACACCTTGACATTTAACAGCATTACTACCACTGAGTAGATTCCCAGTCTGTTCAATCTCTCCTCATAAGCCAACTCCAGAATCAACCTATGAACTTCTTCTACACCACGTCCAGTGCCAGTAAATCTTTTCTTAAGGAGACCAAATGTGCACACAGTACTCCAGGTGTGGCCTCAACAGCAGCTTGCACAGCTGCAGCATAACCTCCCTGCATGGGTTTAGGGTGAGAGGGGAAGATTTAAAAAGGACCTAAGAGGAAACTTCTTCTTGCAGAGGGTGGTGTGTGTGTGAAATGAGCTGCCAGAGGAAGTGGTGGAGGCTGGCATCTAGATGGGTACATGAATACTCCATCCATATAACAATGAAGAACAAAATTCCATTTGCCTTCTTAATTACCCGCAAACTAACCTTTTGTGATTCATGCACAAGGACACCCAGATTCCTCGGCACAGCGGTATGCTGCAATTTTTCACCATTTAAATAATAGTCCATTTTGCTGTTATTCCTACCAAAATAGATGACCTCACATTTACCAACATTGTACTCCATCTGCTAGACCCTGCCCACTCACTTAACCTATCTATATACTTCTGCAGACTTTCAGTGTCCTCTGCACACTTTGCTATCCCCCTCATCTTAGCGTTATCTGCAAACTTTGACACACTATACTTGGTTCCCAACGCCAAATCATCTATGTAAATTGTAAATAATTGCCATCCCAACACTGATCCCTGAGGCACACCAATAGCCAATGATCGTCAACCAAAAAAGAACACCCATTTATCCCCACTCTTTGTTTTCTGTTGGTTAATAATCCCCTATCCATGCTAATACATTACCCTTAATGCCATGCAACTTTATCTTATACAGCAGCCTTTTGTGCAGCACCTTATTGAATGCCTTCTGGAAATCCAGATGTGCCACATGCACCAGTCCCTGTTGTCCACCGCGCTCATAATGTCCTCAGAGAGTTCCAGTGAATTAGTTAAACATGGCCTACCTTTCATGCTGCATCTGCCCGATGGGACAATTGCTATGCAGATGTCTCGCTATTTCTTCCTTGATGATAGATCCAAGCATTTTCCCCACTGCAGAAGTTAAGCTAATGGGCTTAGAGTTCTGCCTTTTGTCTACCTCCTTTTTAAACAGTGGTGTCACATTTGTTGTTTTCCATTCTGCTGGAACTGCCCCAGCGAATTTTGGGAAATTACCACGAGCGTACTTGCTATTTTGCCCCACTATCTCTTTTAGCACTCTGGAATGCATTCTATCAGGGCCAGGAGATATGTCTACCTTTAGCCCCATTAGCTTGCCCAACACTACTTCTTTAGTGATAATGGTCATTTCTAGGTCCTCATCTGCCATAGCCTCCTTGTTATCAATTATTGCTATGTTATTTATGTCTTTCACTGTGAAGACCTACACAAGATACCTATTCAATGCCTCGGCTATTTTCTCATTTCCCATTATTAAATCCCCCTTTTCATCCTCAAAAGGACCAATGTTTACTTTAGCCGCTCTTTTTTGTTTTATATATTTGTAGAAATTTTTGGTATCTGCTTTTATATTCTAACCTAGTTTACTTTCATAATCTATTTTATCTTTCTTTGTAACTTTTTGTGTGGATTTCTGTTGACCTTTAAAGATTTCCCAATCCTCTAGTTTCCCACGAATCTTAGCCACTTTGTATACATTAGTTTCCAATTTGATATCCTTCTATATTTCCTTAGTTATCCATGGCTGATTGTCCTCTTTCCTATAGTCCTTCCTTTTCACCGTATATACTTCTGCTGAGCACTGTGAAAAATTAAATTGAAAGTTCACTCCACTGTTCCTCAATTGTCTCATCACCCAAGAAGCTCGACAGTAGGTCAAAGCAGTCCACTTGATTGGCAGCACATCTACAAACATCCACTCCCTCCAGCACCAATGCTCAGTAGCAGCAATGTGTACCATCTACAAAATACATGGCAGAAATTCACAAAAAACTCTTTAGACAGCACCTTCCAAACTCATAATCACTACCATCTAGAAGGACAAGGGCAGCAGACATGGGAACACCACCATCTGCACTTTCCCTTTCAAGCCACTCTAAATCCAGATTTGGAAATATATCACTGCTCCTCCACTGTTGCTGGGTTAAAATCCTAGAACTCCCTATCTAATGGCATTGTGGGTCTACCGACACCAAATGGATTAATGGTTCAAGCTCACCCCACTTTCTCAAATGCCACAGATGGGCAATAAATGCTGGCCCAGCCAGTGCCTCCCTATCCTGTGAATGAATAAAAGTCAAGAGAATCAGGTCAACACCTGAGAGTAAAAATGTGTAGGGCTATGGGTAAAAAAGGGTTTGGAGTGGAACGAGTTGAGTTGCTCCTGCAGGAAGTTGGCACAATCTTCTTGGTTTAAATGGTCTCTGCGCCATAATCATTCAATAATTTTACAATTCTATATGTTAAGCCCTTGATATCAATAAAATGAGCCACAAACATTATTAAGAATAACATTATCAACCTGACGCAGTTCCTTCAATCTGCACATTTGAGGCTCTGAACAACGCAGCCTACACTTCACAGGCAGATCATCCACACTGCATGGCAGGCTTTCTCATTTTAAGAACTGCACAGCTTGTGCATCCTTAATACACATTACTAGAATCAAGAATGACCTTTCAAAGTGAACCAATTGCATTAAAAACCTATCATACATTATCTACTACATGTTATAGATTACTCTGCATTAACGTCTGCCCCAACACAACCAAAAAATCACCTATGTTCCCATTCTCAAGCTCAGGATGTTTTCTAGCCTAGTGACTGATCTGAAGGTTGCATCTGATCTCAACTTCATGTGGTTAGCCACAGAATTACCACAGTTCGCAACCACAGGCCTTGGAATTCTAGTCAGACCTCAGCCATTGCCCATTCTCTTTCTTTTCTAGATGAATTCTGAAGTCCCTGTTCCTTTCTTTTTAATTGCAAAAAAACTTTATTCATAAAAAAGAATGTACATACACAGTTCCTAAAGCAGTTCAGTTCTGTATGGTCTTTGAATATGGAGAACAAACACTGGAGTTTGATTTTGTCCAGAATTGCAACAAACCCAAAGGCAATTCTTACTTATGCAAGATATTATTTACTGCATTTGATGCACTGGGAGGGTCCGATAACATAATGGACCCCCATCGTACATTGACAGAAAGACTTTAAACGGTGGTCTTTCCCCATCTGGTCCAGTTTCCCTTTCTGCTTTAACTCAGACTGGGCGCTTGGTGCAGCTCCGCCGCCCCCTCACCTGGTTGTGCTCCAGATCTCCACTCTGTGCTTCAGTGTCCAGTACCCACCCCGGTGACCTCCGGAGATTTAGAAATGTGTTCGGCAAATAGATAACTGAATATTAGTCTTCTGTCAGCAACTCGTGAGAAGTTAACAGGTTCAGAATTCATAGTTAAAGTTGCTTTTTGAGTTAGCTGTAACATTCTCGAGCCGAGCTGCTCATTGGCCAGTCCACTTGGGGCTCCTGCAGTTTTCCTGGGATATTGTGATGAGCCCTTTTCGACTTCAGCTGTTTAGAGCGGTGGAGTTGAATTACAGTTACTGTATACAAATGTTTCTTTGTAATCTCCAGAGCCTTTTGTACTGGATGTTTACCCTATAACCTGGTTAGTTATGAGTGTTCAGTTTGACTTCAGGGCGTTGATGCTTTTATGTTTACCTTGGGAAGAATGCGAACGTGTGCGAGTGAGAAAGCGGCTGTGTGAAGAGAAGGAGCAACTCGAAACAGCCTGGTTTGGACAGCGGCGCGGAGCCTCGCCTCTCAGTCTCGCTGCTGCCTGCTCACAGTCAGTTTGAGTGTGTCTTGGAGAGATGTCTTACGGAGCAAACCAGAGCCTGGAATCTTACTGCGACTCCAGCCCACCCAGAGCCGCGGATATTTTAAAAAGTAAGTAAGCAAATCGATTTCTATCAAACCCTTGTTGGTCTAGTCCGTGGAGAGCGGGGTTTTGTCGATCAGCCCCTGGCCACAGGCTGCAGAGCAGCAGAGAGCCGGGGAGACCCCCAGCTCTAGTCCCAGGGGGAGGCGGCTGGATGAAAGGGGCCAGAGCCCCAGTGCCTCCCCCGCCTCAGGGAGCTCTCGTTGCGAAGGAGGCACTCGGTCTGAGGAGCGGAGCTGCGACTTCTCCCAGCCCCTGTCACTGCTAACTATCCGGCCTCTTCCTCGAAATTACTGCTCTGCCCCCTCGAACTGAGTTTCATCCGTTCACGTCCCAATTCTTTCTATTCCCTCCTTTTCAGGTTTGTTAATATGGATAAATCCTTAATTTGCTGACCGTATTCTGTTACAGTTTATGGTGAACTTCTCTGCTGCCAGTATTGTAACTCAGTTATTTCAATGATATAACAAGCAAATAGTTTTAAGTGTCAAATGGTTTAGTTCGGCGCATTAACTGCAGTTCGTGTACATGCGGCTTTAATCAAGTGCCTGGATTTGACCCAAACACTGCAACCTATAGCCACTCTGCAGTCATTTCAGCTTCTCTTGCCTAACTCGCGAGAGTGATTGGAGACCATACTGATGGTGAAGTTATAGTTTGTGAACGGATCGTGAAATCAGAAGTGGGCAAGGAAAATTGTGGAGCTAATATCGATGGCTTCTGGTTGGCCAGCTCCTTTATTCTGCACCTCTATCATTGATAACCACAGCTATCCTTAGATCTCTGACCTCCCCATTCTTCCTTCACCCTGATCTTCTCACTTACATTGTTTAAACTGGCTTTCAAATTCCTGTTTTCTCTGAGCATCAAGTCTATGATTATGAATTGGGTTGCACTGGATGGCTTAGCAGTGGGCTGCACTGCCAGCTGCCATTCATATGTCTCTTCTTCTGTCCTGCTGCTTCAATTTTGTAGAAAAAGACTTTGATCATCTTTTGAGTTATAGAGTGATCCAACGATGATGTCAAATATGACCTTCTCAGTGATTGCCTAATTAGTAACAATAAAAGGGTGTGACTGTGGATTGAGGAATTTACTCATGAAGAAAAATTACAAAAGAGGGCAGAACCTCAGGAGAGGCAATATGGTGAGTTGTAAAGTAAGTTGAAATCACTGAAGATGATAAGTAATTCAATGCAGATACTGAGGGAGTAAAGAGAGAGGGTACTTTTTTATTATCTCATTCTCTCACTCACTCACTCACTGACACACACACTATTATCTCAAGTTCTCCAAGAGGCTATTCCTGGCTGCCTAGTTCTTATATACATATGATTCTTTTGTAAAATTGTTGGCATGTTCATAAAGACTCTTACAAATTTTTATGGATGCACCATAGAAAGCATCCTATCTGGATACATAACAGCGTGGTGTGGTAACCACGACTGGTTTTCCCAAGACTGCAAGAAACTACAGAGTCATGAACACAGCCCAGCCCATTACGCAAACCAGCCTCCCATCCATTGACTTCATCTATACTTCCTGCCACTTCGGGAAAGCAGCCAACATAATCAAAGACTTCTCTCACCCCGGTCATACTCTTTTCCACCCTCTTCTGTTAGGCGGAAGGCATAAAAGCCTGTATGCATGTACAAACAGATTCAAGAACAGCTTCTTCCCTGCTGTTATCAGACTTTTGAATGGACTGTTTAATGTTAATGTTGACCTCTCTGCAACTTCTTGACAGCTGTAACATTGTATCCTGTATGCTTCTGTTACTCCGATGCACTTGTATGGTACGATTTGCCTGTAACTCATCCAAAACACTGTCAGTTTCCACATGTCTTTTAATGACATCCAGTTCTACCCTATCACAGCCTCTCTCAATCCTTCAACTATCTTTAAACTAACTGAGTGATTTTCTGCTATCAAATACTAGGCGAGCAGAAATTTCCTGCAATGAAATGCCAGTAAGACCAAAGCAGTGTTTGCTAATGATACAGAGCTAAGTGAGAATGTAAACTGTGAAGGTGACACAAAGAGGCTATAGATGAATGTAGTTGTGAGTGGTCAATAATGTGACAAATGGCTGTTACTATGAGGTTATTCACATTTTGGTAAGAAGAATTATGATTTGAATTCAAACAATTTGCAGGGGAAAAGGCAGGAGATTGGTACTAAGTTAAAAAGCTCGCAAATGCTCAGAAATGGTACAGACGTGAATGGCCCAATAGCCTCTTTCTGCACTGTAACAGTTCTGTGATTCTGTGAATTTGTTAAGTACAATTTTTAAATGGTGAGAAAGGCTTTAATTTAATTTCAAGGAAAGCTGAGCATCTTCTTACAAGAAAAACAGAAAATTAGCGTGCAAGTACAGCAATTAGGAAGTCAAATAGACTGTTGACTACCACAAAGAATCTGGAGTGAAAGAGTAAGGATGTTGTGTTCAAATTGTAGAGGGCTTTGGTGAGACTACACCTGTGCACCATATAAGATTTTGATTTCCTTAAGTAAAGAAGGGTATACTTACCTTGATGTTAGTGCAACAAATATTTGCTAGATGATTCTTGACTTTGAACAATTGACCCATGAAGAAGGGTTTGGGAGTGTGGGCCTCGAGTCTGTATAGTTTAGAAGAATGAAGCATATCTTATCGAAACACATAACATTCTGAAGGGATTTGACAGCATAGATGCTGAGAGGTTGCCTCCCTTGCTTCGCAGAGTCTAGAACCAGGGGCTATAGTCACAGAATAAGGAGTCGTCATTTAGACTAAGATCAAGAGGAATCTCTTCATTTTTCTTTACTCCAAAGGTTTTGGATGTTCATTCTTAAGCGAATTCAAGGCTGGGATAAATAGATGTTTGGATGCTGGAGAATCAAAATACATGGGGATGGGATAAGAAAGTGGAATTGAGACAAAAAATCAGACATGATTACTTGAATGGCACAGGAGATTTGAGAGGCCATATGTCTACTTGTGTTCCTACTCCTCATGCGTTTACATTCATTACTTTTGGTCCCCCCACAAACTCTATTCTGTAGCCACTAACTGGCAGTGGTCTGAGGCTGATCCAGTCTGTTCTTAATGTTAGTGTCATATCTAATTACAAGGAGCCCTTCTGGCCACTGCCCTGAGACTACCTATTTCCAACTGTACCATCACCCAACTCTACCTGTGTCTCAGCCCATCTACCAATGAAAACTCTATCTATGCTTTTATTGCCTCTGGATTTCATTATTCAAATGCAGCCTTCTCTTATGTACCCTCTGTAAACTTGAAGTCATCCAAAACTATGTTGTCCATGTTTTAACTTGCACCAAGTCCTGTTAACCCACCACCACTGCCCTCATTGGCCTAAAATTAGCCCTTAAAATTTTCCGTCTTGATTTCAAAACCTGTCAGAACGCCAACTTGCTCCAGATTTTTATTCTATGTATTCTCTTTCCATCCAACTGGATAATTCTCATTTGGAGTGCCAGTGAACTGAATGTTTTCCTTCTGCACTGTAATAATCCTAAGTTAGCTGCACTTCTACATGTTTTTAAAAACATGTTCTTTCTGGTGGTTCATCTGCCTTCTATTTGTGTTTTTAACTTTTTTACTTTTCTCAGATTCCCATTTTGCTGACTGTCTAGTTTAAATCATCCTTAAAGCACCAGGAAATCTCCCTACAAAGGCGTTAGGCCCAGTCCCTTTAAGGTGCAAGCTGTTCATCTTGTACAGGTCTTATCTACCCCAAAATCAGTTTTGACAGATATAAACATTTGTCTTTTTCATCTTGAATACGCATACAATGAAACAACCCTCATATTGGTGAAGGAATCATGAAAATCAAGTCCATGCGGGATATAGAAATTTCTGTTTGAATAAGTCCTAAATGATCAACTCCTAATCTCTCCCCTCATAGTTCTTCTTCTCTGGCATTCTTTGGTTATTTGAGAGTTGCCAAACCATATGATGTGGTGTAGATTTACTCCTGGGCAGGTCAAGGAGGTAGACCCTCACATCTACTCCAGTCAGAATGGGAAACAATTCCTTTGGTGGTGACACAGTACAGCCACGTGAGATCCAACCCGTCCACTAAGCTAAGCAGTACCCACTACGCTAAAAATTATTTTTTCAAAAATCTGTCATAAAGTTGTCAAAGATGATTTCCCTTATATAAAATCTCTCTCGCAGAGGAAGGCAGAACAATCTCCTGCAGGAAACCATATCTTTTGCCCTGACCATGCTGCCTACTCCTTTTCAATGCCCCCACTCTGAATAACTTTCTGCATAGTTGTGTAATGATAGGTTTGTCTAACCACCCTGCAGTCATTGCAGTAGGAAATGCTGTTGGTCAAAGAAACAGATCCTTTGCTGCTTGTTGACTTCCCAAATCTGCTGAACTCTCAATCATTCCCCCCTGTCCCTGAACAGATCAGAAACTACTGAAGCTGCAGACATTTACCACAGAAATGATAGCTTGGATTACAGTGCTGTCCCCAAGGCATCCTATGTTGCACAGGACAACTCTTGCCCTGCTAAGTTTGACTAATTTTATTTACTTAGTCAGTTAATTAATTACTAATGTAGTAATAGAGTAGGAAACTGTAATTTTCTCCAGCTATAGTTACAAAATGCCGAGTTACATACAGAGCTTATATTTCAGACCCAAGTTAGAATTGCTAAATCAGTAAACTAAACGAACAGTAATCGAGGCAATTGCTTTTATTTGGCAAAAAAATCACCAAGGCTCCTAAGACAGCGCCTCTGAAACGCATGACTGCTCCCATCTAGAAGGACATGGGAAACAGATTTATGGAACACCACTGCATGCAAGTTTCCCTCCAAGGCATTCACCATGTAGACTTGGAAAAATATCACCGTTCTTTCAGTGTCACAAGGTAAAAATCCTGGAACTCACTCCCTAATGGTATTATTTGTCGACCTACAATAAATGGAGTGCAGCTGTTTTAAAAAGGCAGTTCACCACCTTCTTCACGGGCAACTAGGGATGGATAA